AACCGTGATTTTAATTTAAACGTTATTTTAAAACTGACAAGTGCTTCAAAACTGTGAGTGCTCAAACTTAATTAACTTAACAATAATTTCTTGCGATAATTTAACCTTCGATAAAAGAAGTATATGTATTTAATAGAGATGGGCTTATTATATCCGAAGTCGGATCGACTCGGATTTGACTCCGCTTCAGGGAGGAGTTATATCCGCTTAACAACTCCACGACTCCGCCAGCTTTGAAACCGAAATACTCGACACAAATGTGTTCTATAATGCGTTGTTTGAAAATAATTGATTTTTTTGATTAATTTTATATAAAAATAATGTAGTAAGCTTTGTAATAAAAGCAAAACATTTATCACAAAATATTTTCACCAAATAATAATACTTCTGCTTTCTAATTTTTTCTTCTGCTATGTCCATTTGAGAATTAATATTATATCGGATAGTTCGATTAGCATATTATTAATTATACACAATTCTATAATTGTGTAAAAGTAAAAATTTAATACTATATATTTTTTGCTGCTTAAATACTATTGACGTCACTGATATATTTTGCACTCTAATGTGTTGTTATTTCAGGCTATGGAAAGACCAGATTAAATGTATTTTGTTTCGCGTATTTTTCGGTATGTATATTCCTGATCGCCGTCATTCACGGCCAAGATTGTCGTTGTTAGAAATATGACCCTTACTATTCAATAAATTAACATTGGAGATTCCACACTTGAACACAATTTCATTGATCTGTATCTTTGATGTAATATTTTTGTATTTCTGAAAAAAAAACGTATACCTAAAAGGTCATAAAACTGCCTGCGAGACGAGAAAGCGACAGCTTTTCCCAAAGCAAAAACGCACTAACAGATTTAGTACCAGTTTAGGGAAGTCGGATATGACAAATCCGGCGAGACTACTCCACTCGGATTTACTCCGAGGGAGGAGTGTATCGGAGTGATAACTCCGGAGTGAATTACCTATCTCTAGTATGTAATATAATTACAATTCACTTTCTGTTTTGTGGTTTTGTGTTGTGTTCAATCAAAAAAGATTGGAAAATGGAACCACCTACCGCAGTAAGTATATTTTTTCATCTAATGCAATTGATTTAATCCTTAATTTTAATCCTTATAAATTATTAAGTAACTAAGGCTGCTCGAAGGGGGTATCGAACCCGGGACCTCTGAATCAAGTCCCGTCGCTTCAAACCGCTTATTACGAGCGAGCCCAAATGGCGTCAATAATGAGATTACAAAATGATTTTTTTATTGTAGATATAATTTACACCAGTCCAATAGATATTAAGTAAATTTTGTAAGTAATAATGCACAAAAAACAGCTGTCTTCAAATGAATTGTTGAATGATTAAGAGTGCACAGTTGCATTCTCCAAGGAGCTCTAAATTAAAAAATTAATGATATAAAATGACTTGGTTTAATGCGTTAGTTAAGTCTAAAGGCGTTTTCCTTTTTAGTCTTCTGGTGTAGTTTATTGACATGAGCCTTTTGGCGAACTCGTTAGGATGGTACTCCAGTCGGTGCCTGTACTTGATGGCGTATCTTGTGATTTCTTCTTTTAAAGTATGCAGGCCCGTGTCCTGGTGGATGATTCTTAGAATCTTGTTTTGGAATTTTTGAATAATGTTTGTATTACTCTTAAATGCTATCCCCCAAGTGTTATTCGTAAGTCCATATGGGTTTTAGGATAACTTATAAATTAATAGTTTATTGTATGTTGATAGTTGAGATTTTCTTCGAGAATAACCAGTAAAGGCTTTTGAATTTGACAAATGATTAAAATAGTTGCAAATACAAAAAATTCTCGAAAAATTATTTCCATAAAAATCTAAACTCATAACATTTTATAACTATGCTGAAAATTCATCTAATGCAGTATATAACATAAGTGGATTAATTAATTGCTTATTCAAACATTTTGTATTTCTTTTAGAGTTATATAAGTTCTCTACATTGTATTCTCAGGAATTAATATAATATTCTACTTAAGTACTTATATATAATACTTTTAATATTAATTATTATATTCACAGCTTACAATCGTCCGCCAAACAAAATCATTTTTATACTCATTTTAAAGCAATCATACTTTTAATTCCAAATTAAAATACTGATAATTGTATCTGGTCTCAGATAAATTAAAAATTATAAAGCATCAGTAAATAAGTCTTAAAATTCGAGCTATTAGATTTTGACCAAATGAACCTAGTAAATGTAAATTAAAACTCCAATATTTAAATTTTTTTTTTTTTATAATTTTATAAACTTTTTAAAACATAATCAATTGTGTTATTTCTTTAAATATAATAATTTTTATGACATGTAAGCATAGAATATTAAGATCGCGATCTTTTGATTTAAGATCGTCATTAACTTGATGACTAGTATTTTGTTTGATACTTTTTTATATTTTGCAAAAAAAAATCGGTTTATATAATATAAAACAAGTTATATATGTATATAAAACACACATAATTATGTATATATACATAAATAATTCAAATATTTTATTTATGATATAGACCTATATAAATAGCTCAAGTGTCAGTATTCGTATATAAAAAGATTTTTACATCTTTTCTTCGGCACAACTCTCAATTAAATATAATTATTATTCATATGTACAATTTATCCGGTTATGCGGTTTAATAATTTTTATATGTCAGTGATGAATAAAAGAAAAATTAGAATTTTTATTTTTGGTTCGTTATATTAATAATAACAACAGTGTCCTAGTGCTTGATTATTATTTTTTAAATTATTTATCAATAAATTAAATAGTTTTAATCGAATACACTGAATTATAATTTGCAGTTCAAACTTTTCAAAGCTATTTACAAAGCGCTTTTTCAATAATAGGCGTATAATATAAATTTGTATGATTATCAAAATATTTTATACATAATTTTACCTAATATGCTAAATTTGATACGCAATAAATATGAAATTAATATCACATATATTTGGCTGCTAATATTACTGTTTTGAGCAATGAGCACGTAAAAATATTTTCATATATGTATGAAGCAATTGTTAGAATAAACCAAAACTAATTATTGTTGTTAAACAATAAATAACAAAACATAAAGATATGGATATAATAAATAAATATGCTAACAATAAACTAATTAGCATGAATAGAAATTATAATTTTATATAATTCACAAAGAACTATTTTCTATCGTCAG